TGCACTGTTTTCATTGTCTGGGTGATTTGTGCTTTTATCTTCTTGTGGTTTTCTTTCATTGTCTTTTGTAACCTGTAGTCTGAACTCTACATCTGTCATCAATACAGGTCATTCTGGATGGATTCCATTGTTTGAAGTCTGGGAAGATCTTTTGTAGGTGGTGCCTCATTAAGCCCTTGAGGGTTGCCCATGGTGTATTTTTGGGTTTTTTTTTGGTTTTTTTTTTTTGCTGGTTCTTTCTCATTTGTAAGGACAGACTCCTCTCTTTTTATTTTTTGTTGTGTTGTTTTTTAGATAACGTTTTAGATAATGTTCCTACTGTTGAGGTGGCCTTTTCTGGGATTTATTTTTATTTTTATCCCACAGGGTGCTCCCCTGTTGTATTCCTTGTTCCCCTGGGAGTGGTGGTCTGTGAGGGCCCTACCACTGCGGGTCCTGCTGCTCTTCTGAGTCTAGCTGCCCTAGGAGGCTTCCACATTTTGGTTGGTGCTAGAAGGTACCTGCAAGGTATCCCGTGATCTGAAAGCTCAGGGGTTGAATTCTAAGGAGACTTGGGCATCCACACCCATGGAGAGCCCTCTGGAGAAGCTATCTGAAGCCTCAGTCTGCGAGACATGTGGTTGCATGGTCTTTGTTCTGATCCCCTTCTCAGGGGCTGTGTTTATTGTTTCAGATGTTGTAATGGGCTCTGCCAGTTGACCTCCAGCCAGGAGGTGGCACTTGGAGGGAACAGGATGCTGTGATAGTGGTGACTGTGTAGGTGTGGGTATTTTTGTTTGTTCCCTCTTTTCTCAGAGATGTGCGCAGGTGACCTGCGGGATGGGTGGAGTTATGGGAATTCCCGAAGATCTTCAGTCTCTGGGATTTCGAAACGGGGTGGGAGAATGGGGGAGGAGTGGGGAAAGCTGGTTGGCGAGGACTATGTCAGACTGTGGCGCTCTCCGGCTCCCCCTTGTGGACACAATTGGCTACCCGAGTGGGAAACTGGACCCCTGGCCACTGTGGCCCTGCCTTTTCCGTTATACAAACATTTCACACAGGGAGAGAGGGGTTGCCAAGACAGCAGGCGCTCTCCCCGGCCCCAGCAGCCTCCAGTTCCATTTCACTTGTCTGAGGTTGACGGTGCTCCTAACTCAAAGTGTCTTTCCACAGCAGCCTTTTCCCCCCGATTGCTGGGACCGGCAGGTCTGAGTTTGATCCCAACTGTGAGCACTCAGGGGGCATCAGAAAGGGTCTGGGACTCCTGGCCACTGTAGCAGAGCTGCAGGAATAGCAAGCAGCACTGTCGCGGAGAAGAGTTCATGCGAAGGGAGAGGTGTTCCTGGGAGCTCCTCCTGACTACCCTCCCTCACTAGAGGCCGAATTGCGTTCAGGCCTCAAAAGCTCCTTAGGTAACAGAATCTGCGGCAGCTTGTCCCAAACTGGAGCTGCCTGCAGCGGCCGAACCTGTCCTAGGGGTGAGTGAAGGTGGCAGGGAATTTTTCCCAGCCCGGGAGCCGGCTGCGCAGTGCCGTCTGAGGGTAGGAGTTCATAGGGATGGTTTGGCTGTAGGTGTTTGGAGTTCGGATGGTGTTCCGGCTCCACGTGGGATCTGGCAGCACGTGGCTGTGCTGTGTTCAGGCCCTTTCCTAGTCCCACGAGTCTAGGGAAGAGTCTCCCAGCCCTTGGGAGTAGGAAGCACTGAGTTCTTTTTAATTTTTGGTTTTTGAAAGAAGGAGTTATTGAGAGGACAGAAAAACTCCCGCAGTGGAAGGGGACCCGAAGGGGTTGCCCAGCACTGAGTTTTATGTTCCTACACTCACCATTTCCCACATACTCAGCTGCACTCCTCTGCAGTTCTGATTTAATATTGCATCTTTACTTTGTTTATATTTCTCTTTACTGAGGATGATGCCATGTCCAGTCTGAAAGAGGTTGCATGCAATTTGATAAATTTTAAAACTTTTAATAAGTTTTGATAAATTTTACCTTTTTATAACAGATTTGTGTATTTTATGGCATTATAGCAAATGATAAAACACACTAATATCTACATATATTTTATGCATTCATGACATACCTAATACAAATTTTATTTCGATATTTCTAAGCTATGTGGTTTATCTACAAGTTTTTAAAAACTGTCACAAATCTCAAAAAAATTTTATATTTATTGAAAAATCTGCTCCAAATAAGCCACCATTGTTCAAACTCATGTTGTTCAAGGGTCAACTATATATAGAAATAAAGTTATTTTTTTAAAGCAGATTCTCCAAGTGAAGGTGCTTTGTTCACTTTTTATTTTATATTTTGTTGCCTAGGCTGATCTCATATTCCTGGCTACCAGTAATCCTCCCACCTCAGCCTCCCCAAATGCTGGGATACAGGCATGAGCCACTGTACCAGGCCTAAAATTAATTTTTAAGAATTATATCCTGCAATCATTCCAAATGTCCTTATTTGTTGTAGGCAATTTGTGTGTGTGTTATAATATCTGCATAGACTATCATGTTGTCTATAAATGAGATGGTTTTACTCTTTCTTTCCAGTCTGGATACTGTTACTTTCTTTTTCTTGTTTAAATGAATTGACTAGAGCCTTTAGAAAAAAATGTTATAGAAGTGGTAAGAGCCCTCATCCATGACCATGACACGTATCGGGTCTGAGGAATAGAACACTCAGTCATTCACCTTTAAGTGTGATGTTAGCTATGAGTTTTTCATCAGGTTGGGAAACTTCTCCTTTTTTTCTTTGTTTGCAGAGAATTCTTATCAGGAATGAATTTTGGTATTTGTTAAATACTTTTTCTGTGCCTGTGGAGATGATTTCACGGTTTTACTTTTTTAGTCCATTTATATAGTGTGTTACCTTGTTTGCTTTTTAAAATAATTATTTATTTAATTATTAATGGTGGTAAAATGCATGCAAAATAAAATGATTATCTTAACCATTTCTAAGTGTGCAGTTCAGGTCTGAGTATACTCACATTGATGTGCAACCAGTAATACCATTCATCTCCAGAACTCTTTTATCTTCCCAACCTGAAGCTTTGAACCTATTAAATAATTCCTCAATCCTTCCTCATCCTAGCCTTGGAAACCATTAAAGCACTCTTTGATTCTATGAATCTGCTTATTTCAGATACGTAATGTAAGTAGAATCATTTAGCATTTGTCTATTTGTGACTGGCTTATTTCACATAGCATAATGCTTTCAAGTTTCATTCACAGTGTAGCATGTGTCAGAATTTTCTCCACTTTTAAGGCTGAATATTACTTCATTGTGTTTATATATGTTTATATACTACATTTTCCTTGTGCATTCATTTATGAATGGATACTTGGATGTTTCCACCTCTTGGCTATTGTGAAAAATTTTGCTATGAACGTGTCTGTGCAACCTTGATTGATTTGATTTTCTAATGGTAAATTAAGCCAGGATTGCATTTCTGGGCTAAACTCCACGTGGTGAAGGTGTATACTCTTTATGTATTATATCTTTTTAAATATTATTCAATTTTATTTGCTAAAATTTAGTTTACAATTGTTGCATCTAAGGTCATGAGAGTGTGTAGTTATAGGGTTTAGTAATGTGGTCATGCTGATCTCATAGAATAAATTAGGAAATTCCCTATGCTTCTGTTTTCTGGACCAGGTTGTGAAGAATTGGTATTTCTTCCTTTAATGTTAGAATATATTGATGAAGTCATCTGAACTTCATGCTTTATATGTTGGGAAGTTTAAATTACATATTGAATTTCAGTTTAACAGATATAATTAACTTCTGTGTCTGTTATTTATTTGTTCTTGGGTAAATTCTGGTAGCTGGTGTCTCCTAAGAAATGTGTCTATTCCATGTAGGCTGTAGACTGTATTGGCATAAACTTGGTCATGATATTTTCTTATCAGCTTAAGATCTGTAGAGTCTGTGGTGATACCACCTCTATATACTTGTTATTGGAAATTTATTTCTTCTTTGTTCTTTTTCTGTTCCATGAGACTACAGATTTATTAAGTTAGTTGATCTTCCCAAGAAGCCAGCTTTATTTTCATTGGTTTTCTTTATTTTTTATTTTCTGTTTATTTGATCTCTACTCTGATATAGAAGAAGGTAGATCGCTCACTGGCATTTTTGGTTTTAAAAGACAATAATCTGAAAGTGCCTGAGTCACCAGGAAAAAAGCAACTAAGCAAATGTCTAGTAAATGTCAAGGTGTTCTGGGAGGAGCCAACTTGTGCTCCTTACAAGAATTATGCTTCTGTGTTGGCTTCAGAATAAAATATGGAGATAAAATCCAAATTTGCTTTTGGAAAAATTCCAAAATACACTCTTTTTTTTTTTTTTTTGAGTTGGAGTCTCACTGTCGCCCAGACTGAAGTGCAGTGGCTGCTCCCGGCCACTGCAGCCTCTGCCTGATGGGCTCCGGCAAGCCTTCCACCTCAGCCTTCCAAGTAGCTGGAACTACAGGCGAGCGCTACCACGCCCAGCTAATTTTTTGATTTATTGTAGAGATGAGGTCTTGCCAAGTTGCC